CAGAGAACACGCTCCGACTCAGAGTTGGACTCCCCTGCTGCTTCCCCATCCTCGCCCACAGCGCCACACAGCCCCATAACCTCCCCGGGTCGTGGTAAGAGGGCAACAGATGAGTGGAGCCGCTATGAGACCTTTTCTCTGTCCTCGCCAACTTCATCGTCCTTTTCAATGAGTGGGTTAAAGTATGGGCGCTCACGCACACCGCCCTCTGCTGCCAGCAGCAAGTACAACGCACGCAGTCGAATCCTCAGCAGTCCAATGACAGTAATCTGTGAGCGTGAGGGGGAGCTGGCTGAGAGCGAGTATGGAGACACTTCAGAAAGTCTGTCTGGGCCAGCAATCCAGACTCTCCCGGGGCTCAAAGACTCCAATGGCACTTTATCTGAAGAGAGCAGAAGTTAAAGAGCAAGGCAGCCCCTTAGATACAGGGAGCTGAACTCACTCATCATAAACAGCTAGGGGGGCAGGAAGAGGAGCCAATAGAAGGCCCTCTAGAGACACCTTCCTAAGCCCCACCCCCTCAGTGCTGCCTCTGAGGGAGTGGACATGTCGGGTCCTGATGTGAGATCAGAGGTCGCCCCATCATGGACCGGGCTGAACTTAGCCTGAAGTGGAGAACTGGTTCTGCTGCAGCTTTTCAAGATCTCATGATTCTCACTCTTTCCATCGTTTGGTGACTCACCCTTTATGTTAAAAGAATAGTGTTTCTTTTACGCCTGGTGTTCTTAGTTTGTTTTCCATTTGTTTTGCTGTTTTTTTTACTTTATCTTGTCCTTAACACGCAGGAACCCTTTAGTTTCTTTGAATGACAAGGTTAAGATGGCAAACTAAGGTGAATTGAAGGAATTGAAAAGTCACAAGTTGTTTGCTTACCTTTGCTGCTGTGGTGCTATGTAGCTAGGCAGTTGGAGTGGAACGTAAAAGGCTCGTTGGATGCTCGCCTTGTGAATCTTCTCTGCTTCTGCGTCTCTCCTGTTGGCTCTGGAAAGTGTTTGAGAGCACCAATGGGTCGCAAGTGTTGGCTTCAAACAGCCCACATTGTGGAAAGAACTCGAGGACAGCTCCACGGTACAACTTCAGCTACGGTTATCGACAGGTTTTGCTTTCTGCTCTTAGGTCAGCGGCTTAGTTTGCAGAGCTGGTGTGTTCAGTGGGCCAGAGGAAGTGCAGAGGGCTCAGTGCTGCCACCTAGTGATGGACAGGAAGTGAACAACGGTTGGGTGTACAAAGGCTCAACCAAAACTGCAAATTTACTTTATGAAAAAGGCTCATAAAAGCTCTATTAATGATTTTTAGTTTGGAGATTTTGCACTGTGCATAGTTGTTTTTCTTTGTTTGTGACTTAAAAAGTATGTTTTAAAGATTGTTTTAATAAACAACTGATGTCATGACTTGTGTTTGGGAGTTAAGTATGAATCTATAGATGTAAAGCCAGAAATGACATTCGAAGAAAAGCTAATTTTACTGACTGGGTCTTTTTACTGATCACGTTGGTTACCAAAGAGCTGATAAATGAATCTGGACGTGAACACAATCTGAGAGTGTGAGCGCTTGTCTGACACCCATGCATTTGGTCCAGCTGTCGTTAACTTTGCTGAGACCTACTAGAACCTTTTAGGGCTTAAATGATTTCTATAATGCTGTTGACCCTTCTGCTAAGTTTTTCCTTCTGCAGTTATATATGGTTGTGTATGTAAATACATAGAGAAAGGAGTTTTAAATCACATTTTGACTTATTTTCAAAGACTTTGTACATTTTTAGAGCCCTGTGTTTGCTGGAAGGGAGTGGTTTCCTTTTTATTTATTTTCACATAGCAGGGCTGCAGTATCGTGTCACGATCAGAGTCAACCGGCAAGGTGATGGAGGCACAGGGAAAGGTTAGTCCAAAGGCCACATTTACTACGCTGATCCCATTTATTTCTTTTAAAAAGGTGCTTCAAAGTTAGAAAAAATGCAATAATGTCAATGTTTATGCTTAAGCCTTCTACTGCCCTTAATCTTGAGTCATGCAAACCTAACGCTGGTGCTCACAGCTGAGTAAATGTGGTCACTTTAGAGTCATAAACCGAGGTGACAGGCGTGAGACTTCATAACCTCCTAACAGCCATAACACCCTGTGGCTTAATCACCTGTGACCAAAGTGTGTCTCCCAGCTCCCGCCCGGTCGTGATTGAGCACTTGGGGCCCCGGCTTGTCTCGTGACAGGAAACATCTCAATTGCAGAGAGCTCGTGAAAAGGTGGGAGGACAGACGAAGTCGTGAAGTAGTGGGAGTGGAGCTGAAGGCAGGCTGCTAACGCTCTTGTGTATGTCTGTGTAATAAAAAAACAAGGTGATATTTAAAGAGCAGGTCTGTTTCATTTCTGTGTGTGTGTGTGTGTGTGTGTGTGTGTGTGATTCACAGCCATCTGCCAGCCCAGTACCCCAAATCACCGCCTCATTAGCGGCGTCGTCATGGCACCCACACTCGTCCGTCATCTGGAAAGCTCCGGAGGCCATCGTTTACCCCTTCCTCCCCTCTGGGTCATCACTTATGTCTCCTTCTGGACATCCTATTAGGACACACACTGAATCACAAGCTCAGCCCATAATAGACCTTTCCACTGACTTCAGAGCAGTGTTGAAACACCCTGACTGTCAGTTCGAGGTCCACGTCTTAAGGCTGTAACCTTTCAACATTCCCCGCAGCTCCTTGCTGCCTTTTCGATGCATCGGCACGTCGACCGCTCGTTCACAAGGGCACAGAAACATTGACCGCCTCTTAGTATTTACAATGAAGTCCCTCCAGCAGTCACCTGCCCTCTGACGCTGCATAGATGACGCTGCGTCCATCTGGCTGTCAGACAGAAATCAATGCACACTCCTCCCGGCCATAATCACACTATTGACACTTGAATTCTTCCCCTCTCCCCTTATATTGAGGACTATATGTTATAGTACCATTAACATATGAAGTGACAAATGAAACAACATGTATTGACGTGAGCACAGTGGAGTCCAGGACTAGAATAATTATCACCTGTGTTTTTAGTGCTTGAGGAGTCTTTGTGAATGACTCAGCCTGGTCAACAGGTACTGCTGCATTAATCCAGTCATACAGTGAAATGTGTTAAATGACCGTTTTTACACTCGTGTAAGCTCATATTATGGTTGTGAAGACAGAAAAAAAGCTCACTCAGGGTTTTTCAAAAGGACTGCCACTAAAGATTTAAATGAAATAAGTTTCCTTTCATGAAAACATCGTTAGTTTGTTCTCTATGAAAATCAACCTGCAGGGACACTTCATAAAACAAGTATTTTATCACAGGACACACTTAGTGGCATTTGTTAATTTATATTTGCATGACAGTTGTAAATTGAACTGCGCTGAAACCTTTTCTTGTTGGTGCATTTAGAGAAGATTTGAGAGTCATTGAATGTGAGGTGTTGCATTCCCAAGCTTTGGTGTCAGAAAATCAAACATTAGTTATGAAAACGAGAATTTAAGGATAATTTCTTGTAACAAAAACACAGGTTACTGTTTAACAGCTGATTGTCTGATCTTAGACATCAGATTCTTGCCTTTAAAGCAAAGTAATATCCATTTTTGACCCATTTGTCATTTAGTTGTGTGTCCTTTAGGCAGAGAAACATTGCCCTCCCAGATTGTTTGCATTACATAAAACATCTAAATATTTCAAAGGGAAGCAAATTTGAAAAAAAGGTTCTTTTCTTCTATTTTCTTCTTTTCTTATCAACTCATGGCCCCTCAGATTTATCTTAAGGAGGCACTGCCGTACTACTAACAGGTTGGGAACCACTGACTTGATGTATGCATCAAGGACGAACATTCCCTGTTTGCTCAGTATAGATCATCTCTCGAGTAAGTGTCAAGTCCCTTGAGCTGCAACATTTAGTCAATGTATTGATAGATCTCTTTTAAGAAAATAAATCAGTTATTTTGTTGATTGTTTTTCAAGCTAAAAATGCCAGAAAGCTTCTCAAATCTGAGCATGTTTGTCATATGATAGTAAATCATTTAGATCTGTTGGTCAGACAGACTAAGCCATTTAAAGACAAGACTTAAACACTTCGGACAAAATTCACATTCGCCAGCCAAGTAAATTTAACATGGGATGTAGGAAAAACTGGAACCTTGATAAAATCAAAGAAACATACTTGGATGTTGTCAGCTCACAGTGACCTTGACCTTTGACCACCAAATTCTTGTCACTTCATCTATGAGTTAAAGTGGACGTTGGTGCCAAATTTGAAGAAATTTACTCCAGGCGTTGCTGAGATATTCGTTCACAAGAATGAGACAGACGGACAGACAACCCAGAAACATAATGCCTCCAGCCACAGCGACGGCCGGAGTGGAGGCATAAAAATGTGTTCATTAGTTTCTTCCAGTTTATCTCCATCACCAGAAAATGAGTTTTGTCATGGAAGTATTTTTACTTGTCCTCCCTCTCTACTGCATCCTGACTCGAGGTCTCCACCAGGCTCTGTGGGGGGGGGTTAGATAACATTAAACTACACAGAACAAAAACAGTGAGCTTCATTATACATTTCCTATCCGCAGCAATGTTTCGCCTCACTGAACACAGGCGATGAGATCGATACGACTGGCGAACAACAGACGGACTCTGTGTGTGTGTGCGCGCAGAGGATAAAAAAAGACGTTATTTCTGCTGAGTGTCTGAACATGATAGTGGGAACAATTCTGCCACAAATAAAATGAATGACTCAGCAGACATGAACCTGACGACGAGAAGGTGAAGGAGGAGGAAGCGCGGCGTGAACCGTGGCGAGGATTTAATCTGGCTGATAAAGGAAAAAAGGTCACGATCATCAGAGTGTGGAGGACGGTCTGAACTGTATCAACTGCAGATAAAGAACGCAGTGAAGCTTTCTGTGGTTTGTCAACTACATTAAAAAAACCATCACGAACCAGAGAGAGCAAAAAACATAATTACACAGTGAAGACAGAGGTAATAAATTATTAGAATAATCAATCATTTTATGCTGAGTTATATTTATTATTGATGAGATAATTTTACATTCTTAAACATCATTTAAAAAAAAAAAAAAAAAGGGTATGAAAAATCTCCCATTAATCATTTATCAGTGCAGTGTCATCATCTTATCAAGTACCATGTAAAACCCCTTCTGGATAAAAAACACAATTTCTAGTACATCATGAACTCTACATATGAGGATCAACATGATTTAATGTATAAAAAGTGGTAAACTCAGTTAGCTTGTAAGTGTCACTCTTTGCTAATATCCAACACACAGCAAGCACCAGAAATGTTAGTAAATCTGAGTTTAAAGTACACAAGCAGGAAAACCACACACTTATTAATTCATCAGAGGGGTGTTTTTTGTTGATTTTGAGTGATGCAGGTATGACTGGTCCAGATTTACAGTGAGTCAGTCTTTCATCATTACGAGTGTGATAGCAGTGAGTGATGGTAAATCAGGTTTGAGATCAGATAAACTGAGATTTACCAACATTTTGTCAGGAAGGAGTCACCTTCACAACACGACCACTGACTAACAAGAGGAAAAAAACCTGCATGGGAACAACAGAGTTAAAGGATCAGTTCACAGTTTTTCCAAGTTCATCTTAAAAACAATAATAGCATATCAACTTCTACACTGAAAGTGTTATTTGTCCTGCAAAGAAGACCCTACCTACGGCGATTCCCCATGTAATCCACAGTTCTCTTAAATAATCTGAGGCTTATTAAGTGGATTTCTTTATAAAAATTACATTATTTTCTTACACAAAAGTCTTGTGTTGTGTTTCCATTAACAGTCTGTCCTTGGTGAGCCGCCATAACACAAAGAAGGAATTTTGTACTCAACAACAAGCTGATAATTGCTAAACTAGACTAACTGTATCACAGCCTCATATTGGCTTTGGCTCAACTTTAGAGAGCATCTTTACACAGAATGAGGACTGTGGATTTTGTCCCACATCTTTAGGAGTAACAATTGTAGCGACAACTAATGCTTTTAATTACTGTAAAATCATCGATAAGTACTGCTTTAAGACTTGAAAACATGTGAACATGGACTTTATTTCTTCATCCTGCACACAGTCTTTTTTTATATGAAGGTTTATGTGAAAACAAATACAGAATTATCAAATTATTGAAATGTAAGGTATTTTCTTTACCTTTAAGTATCACTGAATAAGTAGAAATGATTAATGCATGCAATGCAAGAGCTGAAGATTAGTGTATTTTCAATTATTATTACTATTATTATTATTATTATTATTATTCATAATAAAGTGAGGAGGCACTTGAGGTTTCTGTAACAAGATGAATCGAAAGAGAGAAAATGTTTCCTGACTACTTGGCTCCACCTGCTGGTAATATTGGCCCACTGTATCCAGTTTGTTAATGGTGACCTCTTACAGCTCTTGTAATCATTATCAGGACTGTCAGTGAGTCTATAATTCAGTAATTTTCAGTCAAAGGAAATAAATAAAAAAAGACAAATGTTGGTTGTTAGTGTGACCTTTTAAACTTCCCATTTCATCCATCACACTTCTATAATTACAATGTTTATTTCCCTTTGGACGTTGATAAGTAATGTCTAACTGAGTGTTATCAAGAGATCATATAAACTTTTTTTCTTAGTGAATATTTAAAGTTATCGTGGGCTGAGTGCTGCGTGACCTTTAAACTTCCTACACCGGCTCCTGCTTGAGGACCCAGACCTCATTCCTGCGGTTGGTCAGTTTGAACGGACTGTCATAGCCAGCCGCGTAGAACGGCTTGTCGACGTATTGGACTCCGTCTCTCTGCAGGCTTTCCAGAAGTTTCAGGAGCTCTTCACGCTTCATTTTCTCATTGGAGAAACCACCGTATGTCCTGGAAGATGATTAAGTTCTCTGCTTATCAGGGATTTAAAAGTCTTTATTTAATCAGTTCTGAACTTTTTTTTTTTTAATCTGGTATCAGTTGGAACTATTTAATAATATTTGCAGGATTCATTTTGAGTATCAACTTGAAATAGGAGTTAATTTTATTATAATATTATATAATTATATTATAATCATTTGGTGCTGACATCGAACTCTACCTGACATAAGCTGTGAACTCCTTCCTGTGCTCCACAAACACCTCTGGGTCGCTCGGCTCCGGTGGATTGTCCTGATGCTCCTCTGGGATGTAGAAGGATACAGTGAATTGAGACTCACATGCAGGGCCGGCTCCAGGGTCCACGCGGCACGACACGGGGGCCGTCATCTCCACTTTCACCTCTGAGGAAGAAGGAAATATATATTTAGAAAAAAAACACACATCTGTCAAGCAGCTTCTGTAGGTCCATATTACATTTCCCAAACAAACCCTCAGTTGCCAGCTGGTGAATCAAATCTTCAGTATATAAAAGATACCTGAACAGATGGTGGACATGCAACCACAATGTGAGGCAGATGTGGAGGATTAAACACCAGGTTTACAGATCACTCTTTCCTCACTCTGCAGACCTCAGTAGTCAACAGCACAAACAATATATATTCTCATAAATAATGCTGCTGTAAACTGCTGAGTAAGACAAAGGCAGTGGTGCCGTTACAAACTGCTGAGCAAGAACTAAAGTGCACTTTTTTCTTTGACTCTTTGCATATATTCATCAACTCCCTCGTATTCACCCCAATTCATTCTGCAACCTTTTAATATTATTATCTTCACTGGCTGCCTTTAATCAAGTTTCATTTTATTTGGTGACGTTTCTGGCTTTACATTAAGTTTGTTAACAACACAAAATAAAGACAAAAACCTTTCACCATACATCCACGTGGCATTCTAGGTAGGGCCAATTAATTGAAATATTATCGATATCATGAGTGCAATATCCAAACAGAAGCTGCAAATATGAGACAAGGCTGTATTATAATGAGCTACTGTGGTGCTTCAGAGATACCCTGATCTAAAAAAACATGTTTGTTTGGTACAGACTCCCAAAAAAAGGCATAAATCTGATGAAACTCACTGTTGTTATTGTTGCCTTGAATGTAGTTGAAGAGCCTGCGGAACCCAGCGTTCATGGCTGCATCCCACTGCATCCCACTCAGAGTCGTGCTCACCCAGTTAGTGGCATGATAGGTGCGAATCTCATAGTCTTGTTCCTGTAAAACATACATACATACATACATACATAATAAATTAATCTGTTGATCAATACAATTTTAGAAACTAGTGAAAAATGCTCCTGTTACACCATATTCTGTGAACTGGTCAGCTGTAATGTCACTACTAGTCTTTAAAATACAGTGTACCAAACATTATGACCCCACAGTATTTAGATTAGTCACATATTTGAATGGTTCTTACTACAAATGGTTAAACCATAGTGTTTATATGGCACAGATCACACATTCTCGTCTCTAAAGTGTTTTATTGTCTTATTATCAGCATCTGTAAAGCACTTTGACTTACTTTAGTCTGTATGAAAGGTGCTTTATAAATAAATATACGAAATATTTAGAAAGCTGTTACCACTAGTTGTGACCTCATAATATTAAAAGATTAAAAGACACAAACATTGTAAGGAGTGATATAACACCACAATTTTGTTGATGCTTCAATATGACTTATTTTATTAATCCTCTAGCGTAACAGACGCTAACAGGTCACATATTAAAGGCGTAACACCAATCACAACATCCCCAGGTGACATCTGCAAACGTGTTGTTTCATTCGATTATCAGCCCAAAAGATACTAAATTTAAAGTTAAAGAAAAAAAGAAAAGCAGCACTGGAGAAGCTGGATGCAGCCAATGTTTTCATGAGAATGTTTCTTGATAAATGGTTAATTGATTTATTGACTGACAAATCTTTAAGACTACAGAAAACTTTGAAAAATGCCTATTATAAGTTCCTAGTGTCCAAGGTGACATAATCAATTGTTTTGTCCTATTATCAATTCAAAACCCTCCAAATATTCCATTTGTGAACAGAGAGTGACAAATCCCTGCGAGAAAGAGGAATTACTTAAAGTGTATTTACTTTAAGCTTATACAATGACTCATTTCAGCACCAACTCAACACAAACTACATCACATCTCTGGTCACATGACAGTGTGATAACCAGAACAACCAACATCAGGCCAAAGGTTTACTGTCTTTTCTTTTTACACAAAGTAATCTGGGAAACATTTACCTGTTTCTCCTCTGCAGTGAATTTCGGGTTCTGTAGTCCAGTCGAGAACAGAGCTTGTCCCACAGCTTTCAGCATGGCTGCTGTCAAAGTGCTCAAAACTGTCTGAAAAGTGAAATATTAACAAACTTAGACTGTAATACATTAATACAGCATGTAATACATTGTATGTAGAGTGAGGCGATATTAATCCTGATGCTAGTTTATATAAGCAGTCGCTTCAGGTGTCATGAGACTAGTTATGTATCCAAACGCATCTTAGCTTATGAAACAACTCTAGAAAGACTTATTCAGATAAAAACTCATATTCTGCTAATTATTCAGTCTAACGTATCTTATTTCTTTAAAACAATGTTATCATCTTGTAAGTTGTAAAATAATTGAATAAAAGACAGAGGAAAATGAAAGAATAACCAGTAAAGTCACCTGTTTGGTCCTTGCTGTCAGGGCGTGGAGTCTGTTTGTTTTCATAACATCGCTTCCGGTTTGCGTTATATAAAGCTGAAAGCTGATTGGCTGCGGGAGTGGGATTTCAAAATAAGAGTCCCGATCTTTAAAGCAAACAACGCTGAGCAAATAAAAAGGTAAAAAGTTCAACTTTGGCCTCCATTTAAAAATGTGTTTCTGTGTGTTTGAGCGCCGTAACATTTATGGAGCACAAGATGGTTCAGGAGATGATATATAGGAGGAGGAGATTATAATGAATTATAAATTCAAATGACGCCTGAAACAGTAAAAAACCCTCTAATGTCCGGTCAGGTGAGGGATTATTTTCAATCAAAATAACGAAAACATGAACCCTCAATAACATTTTAGAGACTCCAGTTACAACAACATTACACATTACATGATATTAGACATACAAATGAAACCCTGCAAGTACCAGCTGTTGACTTTCAAACAAAATATACACCTAGGTTTATGTAAGTGATCTGAGTGAGGGACTCAAATACAATAAACATCTTTATGGACAACATTGATTTTTTCCAGCATATTTTAATCAATTTATAGGTGTTTCTATGACTGGAAGACTAGTCTCTAACTGTGTGGGAACCCTGAAATAGTCCATGGACTCCCTCAAAAACAGTATAAAGCAGAAGTTAAACCTTGAAACCTTGTTAAATTTAGTCTCCAAGTTTGTCCTAGAGTAGCTCTAATGCTCCCTCTTGCAATCAGCATAGTTTAATCCAGAACAGGCAAAATCTATTAAAAAACTATTTTAAGATATGTCTGTGCAAGTCGCTTTGAGTTTAGACGGCGCAGATTTAGTCTTGAAGTAGGTTTAAGCCTCGTCTGTGAAACCAGCCCTATATCTTGTTTGTTAATCTGTGTCATGTAAAACACAATTAGGTTGCCATTGATTGCGTCCTGTGGGCACATTTTAGTTGACAAACAGCTTCATGGTTATTATCACTCAGACTACAGTCTGATCAAATGTCACGGGGCAGTTTAAAGTAATTTCTTGGAAGAGAATTTCCAATTTATTTACTACATTATCAATATTTACATCAAAGGGATTGATGGCTAACTTTACAAGAAAAAAATAACTCATTTTGCAATATTTAATAAACACAAAGTCCAGGCGATAATGAGGCACAATCACAAAGAGGTGTCAGAGTAGAAACAAACCTAAAACCTAACAGGACTCCAATCAAATGTTGACACACACACACACACACACACACACACACACACACACACACACACACACACACACACACACACACACACACACACACACACACACACACACACAGTATGATAGTCAGGTATTTGTGGGGAAAAACTGCTACATCTGTAACTGGCATAGATGTTAAAATGATGGTGAGGATAAGTTTGTTTGTTTGTTTTTAGGCTTCAGCTACAGTTTTTCAGGTTTGACAATAAGGAGCCCGTTGGTGTGAGAACCAGGGACGAAAGAATCTGGTCTCTATGGAGATGAAGACAGGAGCAGTTAGTGTTACAAGCAGGCGTAGAGCAAGGCAAAGCGAGTCTGTGTTTACAGATATGGATGCATAGTTTAACATTTGCAACTGGCAGCTCTTGTGATGTATGCGCACACACACGCACGCACACACACGAGCATTTGTATGGACGAGGAACTGTAAAATTTCATCTACAGGGACATGCAATCCAATGTAGAGACAGCAGCAGCATTTTGTCTCCATATTGTCCTATGAAGCAAGTCTTCTTCATCACGATTCAGAGCGAAGGGCAGTGGAAAAGGCAGAAAGACAGAGCGATTTGTCAAATGTCCGTTGCTTATACACAGTCCAAATGTCACCGCTAGAAATAGCAGCAAACAATCACTTGAGCTGCAGAACTCCAGTTACAACCCGGTAGTTATTTCTCTAAGCAACATAATATAGAGGAACAGGAGGGCCCTAACAATGGTTATAAAGCAGTTTATTAATCGATATTTAACTTGATTGATACTGTTGGTAGATTTATTTATTTGGCTGTACAGTCTTTTATGAATCCCTCTTTTCCTGTCACAATGAATATCAATTAAGACATTGTATGATAACCGTTTCTAAGGCTCTGTATCCTCCATAAGGTAGTGCATTCTGTGTCTAGGTTGTAGCTGCTGAAGCTCTGAGGCTCTGCGAGTGTTTCAGGGCTGGTAGTTCTGGTGGACGAAGGACAAAACACAATCTTTGGACAGTTTCTCAGGGTCCATCCGTGTCTGAGAATCATGGACTATCACCCCGTCCACCCACGCCCAGAAGAGCCGCTCAGAGTGGCAAACACTGAGGACAAGACAGAGAAAGGATACTGTTCATTCATCAGATCATCAAGATATCAGTGTATTAATAATTAACATGTTTAAAACACCTGAATTTACAGAACTGACTGATTCAACTGATTAAATGAATTCGATATTGAATAGAGAAGAGAGTACATACTGGAAGGGAGCAGCAGAGTTGGGTGGCATTTCATAGGTGGACTGTTTGGTTGTTTTATTATAGAAGAACTTCATCTTGGAGTTTTTACTGTATGCCATCGTCCACGGCTCTGAGGCATGAAGAGGGAGGAGACATGTCAGAATTTGCACATTTTATTTGTCCATGACTCTACACGCACTCAAAAATGATGAGATTGATGAGGCTTTGACACAGTTCAAACAAATTAAAGTTGTGAGAGAATATAAGTGGCATTTATTGATGAGAAGCACATATACATACCATTGACAGTTTTAATGATGTACAGGCCGGTGGGAAGGAAGTGTCGGTCATCTCTGCCGGTGTAGGACAGACGTGGGACTCCTCCTGAACTCTTTGTCACCTTCATCTCGAGTCTGATGGAGTAAAAAGTAAAAAAACACTCAATATTTAGGAAATTACTATATGAAACATCATATTTTATAGATCATGTGACTATGAGATGGGTCATACCTGACAAATATTTTCTCCATTTCCTCGAGCCTGTAAACCTCCTTCACTCTGTTTGGGGAAAAGATTTAACTTTACTTTTAAGTTACATTCAAGACAAAAATACTCTTTACACTCTGAACTTGTGTCGTATACGGTTTTACAACAAAAATGTTGAATTAGCGTCTATCATTCTTAAAATTACATCTAACCATTTTCCCTCAGGAAAAAAAAACATCTATCAATATGCAATTGTATTTTATTTCACAAGTTTAACTGTGATATCACAAAATCGTGCTCACGTTCTTAAACGCAGATTTACTTCATTAATAATTGTCAGCATCGAGAGCAGTGTTTCCCAAATGGGGAACATGTATCCCTAGGGATACTCTGGAGTACTGCAAGTGGTAGGTGAGATTTATTTTTTAGGTTAATTAAAAAAATACATGTAAAATGTAAGATTGATAAACCACATTTTATATTCAATATTCTATTCAATCGTTAACTACTGTAAACTGCAGTTGCCTCCAGGATGAAAGACAAAGATCCTCAATGAAGCACAAGCCCATGTTTTTGTCATTAAATTGTAAGATAAATCTAATAAAAAGACTCAACAACAACTTAATGTTACTGCATGTTGACAAAAATAGTCTTGCCTTGAATTTAGTGATGGATTCTAACCTTGAAATGATACATTTAAGTGTCTTTCAGTTACAAGATTGTGTTGTGTATTGTAACTCTTCATACAGCAATATTTTAATTTATCAAAAATGTCAGCTGTTCGAAAACGTTTGAGAACCACTGATCTCAGGTATTGTTAATGTTATATCAACTTGTTAGACTCAAAATGCGTCGTTGGGTTTACGACTAAATCTACCTGTAAGCTTCACGTACAGACTTCCATTACATCCACCAGTGTTTCACTACACATTATACTATATGTATTAGTATATTATATTATGCAAGTGTCCTTCTCATACTGTCCACCCTTCCAGTGCTTTCAGTGAGAATAAAATCCCTGCAAATACATTACAAAGCAGCATTCAGGACAGTTAAATTATTTCAAATTACTACCTGATAGGGTTCATGTCTGGTCTGCTGGGTTTGGCCACTGCCTTCACAAACTTCTCAGCCATCTGGATCCTGCACATACAACAGCCATTATTAAGTAAAACTATAGTAAATAAATATAAAAGAGTAAGAACCACTGATACAGGTGACACTGTCCTACCTTTGGTTGAAGTGCTTATCTCTTACATCAGTGCCATTCAGTATTAGTGCATCCATTACGTGAACTGCGTTGATTCTACGCTGAGCTTTGCCCTGAGGACCAAATATACTGTATTTATATATTGACCATGAGCAGCAAAAACAGATGCAATTGTTCCTTTTTTTAGTAAGCAAATGAGCAAAAGATCAAAAAAGTATGACACAACAGAAGTACACATCATCTATTGAGATAGTGGAGCCAAGCTTAAAGAGTTTGGGACAGGCTCCCATATTTCATCAATTAGCTTTCATCTTCCCAGCCCCTCCTCTCACCTCGCCCTTCAGCTCTTGGACGATCTCCACACTCAGAAGTGTATCTCTTGGCAGCTCTAGCTTGAAATTCTCCAGTTTCCTCCAGCGCACAGGCATCTTCCCATCCCATGTGTATATTTGAGACTTCTACACACGCCAAGGGGAAATGGAGAGAGCAGATAAACAGATTAAAACGGGTTCAATCACAGGCTACCACGCTTTAAAAACGAAAAAAAAAGGCTCTCTGGTTGCCGCTGGATAAAAAATAAAAACATAGGGGTGAATAGTAAAATAGCTCTATGTGAGGATACTTACCTGGGTTTCACATTACTGTGTGTAATAATGCATAGATAGGAACTGCTATCGATCTCAAATACTGAACATCTTGGAAAAGACAGTACAAAAAGAGCATCGTGTGAAAGGTCACCCTTAAGACTCACCCCCAGAGATAGGAGGAAGATCTGCTCTCCACCTCCCACAATGCACCTGTGGTCCAGGATATGACGCAACTTCTCGAGTGTGGTGGAGTTGAGAGGTGTGAGCTTACACTGGAAAGAGTCCACATCTGAATTCTGAGGTGCAACAGGTGTAAAGAGAAGAGGAAAGACACACATGGAGACAGATTTAACATTTTAAACCAGCCCATTTGCAAATAAATACATATTTGTTTACA